AAAAAATTTCCCTCGCGAAATTTCTCAAACCAACGCTGGCATTTTCTGGCGCTAACTGCATCTTGACCAAGAGCACTACAGATGTTTTTTGCAGCCTCACTTGCTTTTCTTCCTAATTGGAACTCGTAAAGCATGCAGCGCCGAATATGCTCTTCATCCGCCATCCTCTTAGCCCTAGTTTTGCAACAAAAACCAAACCAAACACAAACTTTTTCAAGCAAAACTTGTTAATTGCACTTCACACGTTCTGTAGATACCACGTGTTTGAAGGTTATGTCAATACAAGTCAACGCCAAGCAAGATTTTAAACGAATGTAAAAAAAAAGCGACATTAATTATTACTAGACCCTACTAGATACTTCAGAAACCAATTGACCAGTCTCCCAAAATACAAACCAGAATTTAGGCCAGATTCATTTTGGGGCACTATTTTCTCAAAGATCTGGATGTGATAGAAATGTTTTCAATGCCAACTCCACAGAGAAATGACCCATTGGACTGAGTCCCAGTCCAATGTCCTCTCCATGGTGCCGACTGCCTTTCCTGCTTACTGACAGCAGCTCCACTGATCAATTATGTTGCCATGTTCTGGAGAATGCCAGTTGCTGTACAGTAACACAGTACAGGGATCTAGATGTGTTATAAAATTTATAGAACTACACACTCAGAAAAAGTGGTAAAATCAAAGTAAAGTTTACTCATGAGTTAATGTGTCACGCTGATGGCCATGTTTTGATGCTGAGCTATGCTTATGTGAGATACTATCACATAAGATATTATCATCTTATAGGCTAGGTAAAGGGGCTCTGAATCTATTATTTTTGCAACTGCTTCAAGATAAATGAAAACTATTGTAATAGGAAGATTAACTAAAATATTTAATCACTTACTATGTGTAAAGTATAGAGTTAAAGCAGCCCAGGTGGGAGAGATATGTATGTGGTTGGTGCTCCATAATATTGGAAGAGGATAATGCCAGTCTCTTCTGGGCCAAGCTCTCGCTAAAATGTGACAACAGTGCTGAGCTTCTTCCTCTGCACTTAGTCACCATACCATCCACTCCTTCAACAAAGCTGGAACTCAGCACAGCCTCTGATTCTTGGGTGGGGCAGGGAGTTGGGAGGATTTTTGCATAATGGTTAAAAGCATGGGATTATGGTTCAAACTCCAGTGCTAGCTTTCAAAAATAATTTCTAATTGATTTTTAAAGGGGGGTGTGGAGGAAGAGAAATATCAATTGGCTGCCTTCTGCACGCAGGAAGGATCAAGCTCGTTTCCTGGGCATGTGCCCTAACCAGGAATGGAATCTGCAACCTCTCTATGCCTGGGACAGTGCTTAACCAACTAAGCCACACCAGCCAGGGAAAAACTAAGTATCTTGGTATGTTCCTGTGGCCCTAACTTCTTTCCTAAGTCTTTCCTACAAAAGCAGTATCACAGATTGCTTTTAAGTTTCAATGAGAAAAATGCATGTTTAGAGGACTATATTTGTGAATATGATAGTGCTGAAAAAGATTCAAGCTCCTTCTCCAACTGATCAGTCACAAAGGCCTGTCCATTTTGCTTCCTAGGTGTCTCTAAAACCCTCTTCACTCCATCACTATTCCCCTAGTTGCAACATCCTCTAGACTTTATGTATCTCATTATTAATTAACAACTTTCTAAAAGAGTGCAAATCCTGGCCCAGCATGACATAGAGAATGCAGGCCTCCTCTTATTTAATAAATTCTTATGTATGTCCCATTACCCCAGTTAGACTCAAATTCCCAAAGGCAGAAACTGAGTTTGATACAGCCTGGGATTACCTAGCCCACCTGCCCAGTGTAGTCACTCCCCAGCATCAGTGATAAAAATGCATGTTTGCAGGTTTAGGTTCTCTCATGGCTGGTCCTTCCTGTCACTCAGGTCCTGGCCCATAGATCACTCCTTTAGCCATGCCATACCTGGACAACCAGTCCAAATTGCCCCTCATTATATCATCTAATTCTCACATGTGGCCTGGGCTGAAGAAGGGACAGTTGTCAGATACGTAATTACCTAAAAATAAAGATCTTGAATGCATATTATCTGCCCAGTTCTCCTTGTAGGATTGTCCCTCCTGCTTTGTGAAGTGACTGTGAGGCATTTGGCAACTCCATGACAACCCAGTCTTTCAGAGATTCAGGGTGATCACTAATACACTAGAAGGGTGCTCTGTCAGCTTTTGTCTCCCCCAAGAAAGGTTTCATACTTCTATTTCTGATTTCTCTTTTGAGGAGTGAACACTGGGCATTCAGAATCCAGAGCCGGGTCCTGAAGAGACAGAATGTCACCCCTTTAGTTCTTGCCATTGCTTGTATGGCCATACTCTTCCCTGTAGCCAACCTCCAGGATATTGGATGTCTGCTAGGAAGAACTGCCACCCTCCCTCTCAGTGTTGAGATTCTTCCAGAGTGGCTGGCTGCATTGCATAGGGATCTGGGGGGACGGGGGGGGGGGGGGGGGGGGGGGGCGCAGGAAGGGGGGAGAGAAATCCATTATACTGTGCAGAGCATTTTGATAGAGTGTCTGATTCACAAGATAAATGACATTTTGTCTGTGTCTATGGTTATCTGAAGCAATACATGGCAGTGGACTTTCCTTGTGATCACCCCATTCTAACTGGGCTTGGGGCTGAGGATTAATACCATTGTCTGTCCCATCCTCGGCAGCTCTCATTCACTCTTGAAATAACCCTACCCTTTGTTTACAAGAGAAAAACAGTAGCTAGACTGCGTGTTATCCCCACTCAAAGACATAACCACACCACAGCCCAAGTTATTATCTGAAAAACTAATCTGAGAATTGCCCTCCCATTCTTCAAACATCCAGTGACTGTGGATCCCATCCGGCAAAATTCTAGTACTTCACCCTGGCAAACAGATTCTTGACAACTTCACCTGAACATTGAAGCCCTATTTCATCCCTCCCAGCAACCCTACTTCTCAGCATGTCTATGAATATATTCTCCTACTTTTTACTTCCTAAGCCTTCATTCTTATCTATATGCTATCATGCGCATTGTTCACTTTACCTGGGTGCCCCAGGAGAATGAACTCAGTCTGGGACAGTCAAGACATGGTGGGAATAGGCCCTTGGTGGGGAAAGTGGGAGATTAGATGTTGCTGGGGAGGGAGAGAGTGCTCATCAGCTTTTCTGTCCTTCTTCCCCATCAGTGACAGAGGCACTCCTTAATTCTGTTAGGATGTTGCACCATTGAATCTACTTGCCAAAATCTCTGTTGGTGGTGGTATTTTGTTTGTTTGTTTGTTTGTTTATTTGTTTCAAAGCAAAGGAGAACTGAGGAGTTGAGAAGGTGGAAATCATGTGTGGAAAACATTTTCCCCTCACTAAAATGTGCATGGGACAGGGGCAAGAAATATTTGAGCAAACACTGCATTTTGAAAGGCTAATTGGATATGAATGAACATATTGAAATGATGTTCTGTTATTCTCAAAAATAATGTTTTGCAGAGAAGCTATTTGTGAAGAGAGACTAGTAATTGCTGATGGACTAACTGCTCTCAAGTATATGGCAGTAGTAGTGCAGACCTGGAATGCCTAAAGAAGGATGTCAGTCAATGTGAACTTGGAGGGGAAGAATGAACACCTCCTGACTTGACTCTGCCTGTATGATTTGACCCGCAGGACACACATGCACAGCCCCAGGCTTGTTTAACAAAATCAGAAGTGGACTTTTAATGGTTTGCAGACCACTTTGCTCCTGAGATGAGGTCTGATGGTTAGAATTCAAAAACCAACACAAGCCTGTCTTCAGCAAACATGTGTCTAAAGTTTTAGAATTCTGAATTCTATTCTGGTTTCAAATACTGTTCCATATTCTCATACCTCAGTGAAATAACTCTGTCATCCAGTATTTCATTGTCCATGCCACAATCTACTACTCCATCTGCCTGGGGAGATGTGACAGAATTCTTTGCTCAGACCATGTGTTCCCATTTGGGGTTTAGGAGCGCACTGTGAGCTCTCTGGCATCAGCTCCAAGAGTGGAAAAGGATTCCATGCTGATTGTTTATTCTGATCCAAGGTTTAGCTTTTTTTATGCAAAATAAAATTGCTCCAACAGAAATATAAATGGGGACTGGGAAGATAAAGCAAAAAAAAAAATCTTGGAATGAGAAATGAGAGATTCTTTCAGGAGGAAATGTTGGAAGTCAGAATTCCTTTAAACACTTTAAACACTAATGAGAATGCCTGGACCATCTTTGTACACCCCTGATTTAGATGTGATCATCCAGGTTGCTAATGTTTCTGGCCCCTGCTTCCCTGCCCCTTCTGCCTTGAGGAAGTGCATTGGAGGAGCCAAACAGAAATCCTCTGTCCAGCTCCTCAGAGCCACAGTGAACAATGGAACCCCAAATTTCAACAAATTTAATTTCCTAAGAAACTGGGCCTGAGATCATGACTTTTGGGCATACTTTGCTAAATGTTTGTATTATCAAGTCATTTAGAACAGAAAACTTGGGGACAGACCCCAGTGTTAATTACAGCACTTATGGTCCCAAAGAACTTGTTTATATAAAAGCCCCAACATGGCCTGCCTCTCCTCTCTGAGTCCCTTGGGGGATGGATTTGCAAAACAGCTTCACTGTCCAGCCTATGTGATAGGTGCCTGTAGCCCTACACTCTCCCTGTCCTCATCCCTGCATTATTTTTCTCTTGGTCATTTTCTACCACCAAATGCATTCTTTAGTTTGCTTGTCTTGTTTACTGACTGTTTCTCCACCAGCCCCTAGAATTTACATTTCACACATACCTAGAAGAGAACATCCTTGCCCAGAGTAGGTGCTCTGTGATAATCTGTTGAGTGAAGGAAAGCAGGAACTTGCTCATCTGCAGGAATGAAATGGGGCTGAAGCAGGGTCAGTTTGAGCTCTACCACTAGAGTTTCATAATTTTTCCCTTTCCTTGGATGCTGTTGAGAAATGCTACAAGAGTCTTCTGTTTCCACCTCTTTGCAGAGCATCGGCTGTGATGACTACTTAGGCTCCGACAAAGTGGTGGACAAATGCGGGGTGTGTGGAGGCGATAACACAGGCTGTCAGGTTGTGTCAGGCGTGTTTAAGCATGCCCTCACAAGCCTGGGCTACCATCGAGTTGTTGAGATTCCCCAAGGAGCCACAAAGATCAACATCACTGAGATGCACAAGAGCAACAACTATTTGGGTAAGTTTGATCTTTTTCCAGAGGAAACATGTCACTCCAGCTGGTTTATTCCAGGGTGGTGAGATGAACACAGCAATGTCCAGAGGTTCTCAGATATGTGGTGTCACTGGGAATGCCAAAGCAATGTCTTCGCAATGAAATGAGCAGCTTGGGTGGAGAAAATTTAAAAAGTCATAATTGCAAGTAAATGCTTAATATTTACATGAGTAAACCATCCTTTGTTCTGTCCAAGAGAAACATGATTATGAATTCAACTAGAGGCTGAGTGCACTAATTTGTGTACCAGTGGGGTCCCTTGGCCTGGCCTGGCCTGTGGGATCTGGCCAAAACTGGCTCTCTGACATCCTCCAGGGGGCCCCAGATTGTGAGAGGGCACAGACCAGGCTGAGAAACCCCCACCAGGGCATGATCGGTACCGGGAGAGACGTGGGAGGTTGGCCAGCCAAGGAGGGACTATAGGAGAGCTCCAGGGCATGTCCGGCCAGTCTTGCTCAAGCCCCAGCAGCTGGACCCCAGCAGCAAGCTAACCTACCAGAGTGTCTGCCCCCTGATGGTCAGTGCACATCATAGCGAGCAGTTGAGCAGCCTTAACATATTATTAGCATATTACACCTTGATTGGTTGAATAGCCCACTAGTCTACCACATAGCTACCGTGTTTCCCCGAAAATAAGACATCCTCCAAAAATAAGAGCTAGCGCATGGAAAGATAAGACATCCCCTGAAAATAAGACCAAGCGCAACTTTGGGAGAAAAAATTAATATAAGACACTGTCTTATTTTCAGGGAAACAGGGTAGCATATTAGGCTTTTATTATATAGAATAATTGGCTAAACTGTCTTTCTGAGATGGAGAAGCTCTTTGTAGAGCCCAGAGTTCTGTCAGTCTTTGTTCTGTTGGAGTTTGAAGTAGCCAAAGGCAGTTAATGACTCTGTCTGGACCTTTACTCCCTGGGGGTCTAAAGCAAAGCCATTTTTTTTCTTCTTCCTGCCTCATCTGCCTGGGGTGACAGTAAGTCTGTTTCTTCTGAACAGCTTCAGAGCCTCTCAGCAATAATTTGGGGCAATATTATCAATAGGAGAGGCCATTTTTAACCCATTTTCCCACAAAAGGAATTTTTTGTTGCTTTCTGAGTTTCTAACTGATTGCATTTAAGTAAAACAATATAGGTCTTACAAATTAATTTTTACCAATTTCTAATTCAAGTAAGCATATACAAATCAGCTAACAAAACACTATTAGGAAAGCAATTTCTTTCAGTGAACAATACTCATTTTTAATGAACAATACTCTTTTTTAGGTTTGAATTACTTATTTAACAGGAAATTAAATAGCCCAGCAGGTCCCAGGCATTGTTCTTAGTACTTTACATGTGTTAGATTGCTGAACACTCTCAACAGCCTTATGGGATAGGAACTGTTCCCATCCCCATTTTTTAGATAAGAAAATAGGCACAGGGAGATAATGTAACTTGTTAAGGTCACAGAACAAGGAAGAGGTAAACATGGGATTTGAACCCAGGCTGTCTTTTCCAAGAGCAATAGTATACTAAGAGATAATGCCTAGGAGAAATTCTCATAATCAAGGTCTACCATTAGCCATGCAATGGTCAATGACTCCAGTAGTTGAGAGATCATTAATTTTGCAAACTTTGAGCATCAGAGTCACCAAGAACTCCAGATTCTGCAACTCTTCTTTCTCTGCAACCAAAATTAGTCTCACTTAGTTTTGTGGGGGGGTTTTGTTTTTTTGTTTGTTTGTTTTTGTTGTTTTTTGTTTGTTTGTGTGTGTGTGTGTGTGTGTGTGTTTTGTTTTGTTTTGTTTTGTTTTGTTTGCTGGGAGGAGGAAGTGATAGCAGATGGAACTCTGAGACAAACCAAATTAAAGTGGAAAACCATTACATTTGCTCTGGCAAACCTAGGAACCATCAAAGTGGCAATAAGCCTAGGTTCCCAGTGAATGGTTTCTGTGTTATTTTTTCTTTTTAACTTTTAAAAATATTTTTTTATTGATTTCAGCGAGGAAGGGAGAGAGATGATAGAAACATCAATGATGAGATAGAATCACTGATGGGCTGTCTCCCACAATCCCCACACTGCGGATGGATCCTACAACCCAGGCATATGCCCTGACAGGGAATCCAGTGGTGACCTTCTGCTTCATAGGTTGACACTCAACCACTGAGCCATGCTGGTAGGCTTGTGTGTTATTCTGAATTGTAGGAAATAGTCTTGTATGTTCCCTCCTTTCTTTTGTATTATTAAGAGACCACATTTGCATAAACATTCTGTCTTCTAGAATGGAAGTGTTCTTCAGGATTATTTGAAATGTGGTGTTCAAATGCACCAACAAACAATGCCACTTTTGTAAACTTTGTGTTGTTTTAGTAAGTTTTCCCTGGCTTGAATTAGTCCTACTCAGCCAACGGATTTTAAAGTTGTGTCCTCTGAACAAAAGACCCATATCCTGGCCAAATAAACTCTGGGTGTCTGAATGGAAACCACTCAGTGTTTCCATTTTGCAGATGGAATAAGAATCCTGATCTTGGAAATATTCATGAGAACAATAGGGTAAAGACATTCAGGGCCCAGCAGAGCCCCTGGCATTTATTAGCAACTAGGGGCCCAATGTAACAAAATTGTGCACCTTGAAAGGAACAGTGGATCCGCTAGGCTGCAGTGGGCACATGGGTGGGGCTCTGCCCTTCTCCATACCCCCACCCAAACCCTCCTGCTGCAGCCAATGGTCCCCTGTCTGCCAGCAGCCCCTCTCCCACCATCACCACTCCCTTGTGCTAACATTGCCAGCCCCACTTGAGCCCTCTGACAGCGTGGAGCAATTGGGGCTGTGCCAGCAGTGGGTATGAGTGGAGCCAGCACTGTCAGCTGGTGTAAGTGGTGGCTACTGCCCTGATCACCCCTCAGGAACAGGGGGAAGTGGAGAAGCCCTCAAGGGTGATTGGAACCAGCGCCAGAAGTTGGCAATGGATGTGAGCAGGGTCAGCACCGGCAGTGGGTGCAAGTGGTGGCTCCAGCAGCAGATGCAAGCAGTGGCTCCGGTGCTGGCAGAGGGTGTGAGAGCAAAGAATTTTCAGTAATCACCAGAGGCTCACCTCAATGACAGTGACTAATATTGGTCTGGCACCCCCGCTCACCTGCTCCACCATACCACCACAGTCAATGCCCACTATGTTCTGCACTCTGCCACCTCCTGCTGATGGCTGCCATGTTACGCACATGCCCCTTCGTGATCAGCACATGTCATAGCGACCAGTTGTTAGGTTGTTCCGCAGTTTGGTCTATTTGCATGTTAGGGTTTTATATATATATAAATGGTTAAATATTCAGTACCTTTCTTTTTGTCTCAGAGAACTTGTTATTAGTCAAAGCTTTGTGGAATCAAAATTCCACCTCCCCCTCAAAAAGATGAAGATGAGACAGAGGAAATTGGAAGTACCGAATCAATGAGAGGGTGATTCAGAAAGTTAAGTTAAATTTATTTTGCCTATAAACCATTGGAGTGCATGAGAAATTCAAAGTCTGTGCAATATTACATGATGCCACATGAGCAAAGAAGAAGTAGAAACAGAAAGAAGCTATAGTGAAGGTGGTTCCAGAGGTGATGACCAGGAGATTCTGGCTGTAGAACTTAAACAACACTCATGATGCCCTTTTCTTTTAATTTTTTTTTTAATTGGGAGGTAATTCACATCCCATAAAATTCACCCTTTGAAAGTTCACAGTTGTTGGGATGTACTTTTTCTCATCACAAGTGCTTTCTTTACCTATCCGACTTATCCTGCTAAATCTTCTGTGAAGTCAATGTGTTTTAAAAGTTAAAATTGCATGGGATTACTTAAGATCTGTCCAGCTATTTTGAACTGTCCAATGACTATTTTTTGAATTACACATTTCCAAATGTTGAAACATTTTCCAAAGATATATTGGTGGGTTTCTCCACAATTTTCCAGGTAATTATGAAAGTTTTGGTTTTCTTTCTTACCTTGAGATATTGGCTATATAAACTGTATTTTGTATAAAAGTTTAACTTGGTTCACATAATTGATTTGGTTGTTTGTTCTGCAGAATAGGCAATATTGATAAAATAAATAGTTCAAATTTGTATCATTGCTTTAAAAAATATATTCAACTTTAATGATTTTTTTCAGTTGCCCTACCTTTAGTTATTTAGTTATTTGTACTGCAAAACAAACTTTTCTAGGGAAACAATTTGTATTTTCTAATGAGAGACTCTCCAAACTTGATAGATAAAAAGTAGAAGGTGATTTAATCATTTGAAAGGGTTTTTAAGCCCTCAATATTTAAATGACTGGAGGCCACTCAGTTAATAATAGAAGTTGTGCTCTATGAATACACAGCACTTGGTCTCTAAGCATTTTTACTTGTATTGTCTTCTGACTTTTAAAATGAGACATACTTTACTTTTCTTGCTTCAAAAAAAGATTTGGAGTGATAGTTACTAAAAATGTAATTATAGAGTTAGGCTATGAAAGTTGAAATTTAAAAACAAAATACTACATAGAACAAGGAGGCATGTATACCAAAAACCTTGGGTAATGTGTAAGTAGTAAGTTTATGGTTTACTTTGGTTTGGCCATCAATAACTGAACCTGCTGGACTCAGGTTCTGAAGGCTGAGTCTGGCACCAGCCCTGATGTAGCTCACAGTGGGACAGGGCCATGCAGAGCTGGGGTCCAGGCCGGCTCATCACTTCACGTTTCTCTGGGCAAAGCTGGAGAAACCATGGTGTTGAATGGTGCACAGATTTCAGGAGGTAGGATGTTTGCCTCATTTTAAGTTAGAAACCAACTGAATTCTACAGAATTTAGCCCCACTTCTCAGTAGAATGGTTATTTGAATTTGTTCACGTGCTCTAAAATGTAGACTAGTTAGTGGCTTATATTAATAGATTCCTATTTTTTTTTTAATGGAAAAGACTTTGGAACTGCTATATTTGTGGTAGGCTATGTATTTTCCTTT